TGAACTCTCAGCTCATATATGGCCATTTCTTGTTTTTTTAGTTATCCCTGTGATTGGTATTTTTCTGATCACAGGCAATTAAGCTCTCAGGAATGTCAAATGTTAACACCCATACCAACACCTATTTCCCATCAAGGACTTATTGACTCTCCAAGTGATGTCACAGTCCTGCCTTCAAACTCTTACAGCTATTAACTCTTTCCCCTCCAGAATTCTGCTCAAAGTATTACTGCCTCAAAATAGTAAGCTTCCCTCTGGAACTCTTTTCACATAGATCCCACACAAATGGCCCAAGAGGCAGGACTAAATATTTTCTTCCAACTGCTACAAAGGACCTCATTCAGCAATTTTCATTCATATTCATCACCAAACCCCTTATAATATGCCTGCATGTTCTGTTTGCACTATGTATTATGTATTAAAGCCTTTATAACAATTCTTATCTGGTAAGTAATTTTATCCTGACCCTGCACCTTAAGCTCATAAATTCCATCATGACATTTGGGTCTGATCTAGGTTAGGATACTTAGAAAAGGAAAAGGTTCAAGTACTGTTTTCACCTCTCACTTTTCCAGGCTGTACACCATTTGAAAATTCTTAGTAGTTCAGCATACCTACTGTTAGAACCTTAACTGTCACAGTGCTTCCCAATCTCCTCTACATTCAATATCTAAATCACCTACTCCCTTATGTATAGCTACAATGCAAAATTGTCCAAACATCAGACTCAACACTCAGACTCAGGCTCAGGCTCTGCTGGTCATCTCCCTTCTGTAGCCCTTCCCCAAAGGCTGCTCACTACTCCATTTTGCATTGCTTTTCTCAGTGAAGATCTCACCTACCATTTGTATTCATTTGATTACTCTTGCCACTGGAAGCAAAGAAGAACAAGATATATCTTGATAGTTTCTCTACTATCATCAGTACTATCAGGCTTTGGCTCACAATCTAGTTCTATACAGTCTATAATTCTGTACTTATGAGTAGCAGGCGTATAGGTAGCGTAATTGTGACAGTAACTGCAAGGTATCACCTAACATCCAATTCTTCTTTTCCTTCTTTATCAGGAACCCCACCCATAATCTTGGGGTATAAATTCTGTCAACAAATATAAATTATAACATCACTTAGTTTCCATTGAAAATCAGAGCAGTCATGACTCAGGTCTTCAATGAGGTACAAGTGGATGTATTAAATGGGACTTCTGAGAAGGCAGCTATTATAGGATACCTGAGTCTTTTTCCTCCTCTTCTGATCTTCTAAAGTGTTATTAATACATTTTCTGGAGCTTCAGCACTTTCTGGACCAGAAAGAGTTACATACAATGAATAATAGAACAGAGTAGTCTTTAAAGACTCTCTGAAGATGCTATAATGGTCCACATATGCTTATGTCCTGATTTCCTGTGTGGAAAAATAAAACTTTCTGTGTTTTAAGCCAATGAAGATGAACCTTTGTAACCTATAGTAGGATTGAGTACCATTAAACTTAAAAGTTGGCCATTTCATTTTGTCTATGCAAAGGCTGCTACAAACTCAAATGCTACTACTTACAATGTCACAGGGAATTTGACAAGGAATTAATCTGTAAGATTTCTGTATTTTTCTCCAAAGCAGAAGCAGAATGAATTTTGGGCAATGGAAACTAAAGAACTCTTGGAATAGGCAATGCAAGCACATAGTTGTATCTACAAAGAATTTTTAAAGATTAAAAGTCAAAGCATATGCTGTTATCACTATGTATCAGCAATGTAAGCAACTACATTATAAAACACTCGTTTTATCCTTACTCCTACAATTAACCTAACCTCCTGATAAAATATAAGTCAGATCATGACCATCATCAGCTCAAACGCTTTCAGTGTCTCTTCATCTCTGTCGCATAAATTTCCCCATATCATATATTTATCTGTTTTCTGTATGATTTTATGCAACATTTTTCTACACTTACTAATTCTTTATCCCCTAAATTTTGTTTCCTAAACAAGCCAGTTGCATTTTCTTCTGGTTTGCCCTTGGACCTAAGGTATTAACTGATCTAATATATCATACCGTTCTCATCTGTGTTCTCTGCTTTCCTTAGTGCTAATTACATCTTGCCATGGTATATATTTTGTGTGACTGGTTTATTTCCGATCCAATCCACTAGACTGTAAGCTCCTTTGGAGTAATTTGTAATTTGTTTTTGTTCAATGCTCTTTTTCCTCTGTACCACATCCATCCAAATTCAGGGTAGATAGCCTAACATTAAACTAATGTCTACAATAACACCTAAAAAATAAAGGTATGAAATTCATAGATGAGAATTGTAAGAAAAATATAAAAGTCAGGCCCTCAACCTTACATTTGACTCTAAAAGAACATTCTTCCCCTTCTAGTCATAATTCCAATTTCAGTGACAATTATGGTTTCACAAAGAAACAATAAATCAAATGTACAAAACAATTTACCATCCAATATGAACTCACAGTTAAACATCCTGCTTTCACTAAGATAGTAATTTCCATTAAATCTTAAAGAATATTTTTGAGTTATGTGGTAACACTTGAATTAATTTACAACTGTCAAGTGTGGTAAAAAAAAAAGTCAATGTGTAGTGTAGATGAAAGAGCCATATTACAAAATGGTGGCTACATCAGAGTCTCTATTTTTCCCTCATAGTCTTTTCTCGTTAACTTTTTTACTTAAATTTTTTGTACAATATATTTTATCATATTCTCCCCCCAACTCCTCTCAGATACTCCCCAAATCCCTACCCACCCAACTTCATGTTTTCTCCACTTGTCAACAAAGCCCACAAAAAAATTAAAATAAAACAAACAAGAAAAAAAAAAAACAATGAAGTCTGCACAGATTCAAACCAGACAAAATTCCAACACTGAGAAGGGAACTTGGACATAAGAGTCCCATCCCTAACCAAGAAGGTATTTGCAGTTGACACCTGCTGGGAAAGAAAAAATCCATTTTTTCCCAATAGAGTTTCACAACTGGGTATATCAAAGATCACTCTAGGGCAAGCCCCAAGCCCAGCAGTAGTTAGCTTACTAGTTAATTTCTATCCAACATTTACTGGAAGGAATGTCGATCAACATTTATAATCTCATTTAAGGAAGAGAAATCTGAGAGTCAATGTATCCCCAATAAACAATGAACACCATGGTAAAGATTAAAGGTTTTTCTGACTCCCTGGCTGAAATAATGGTATATCACCCATTCTGAATTCTGGTAGTGGCTAGGTTAAGTGTTTTTTTATCAGAATGGTCACCACTTCGGTCCCTTAAAAATCTTTCAAAGTTTTCCATCACCAATCAATCTTTAATCACATAGTCTTTGCAAAGCTATGCCATTGGCTTCTCTTAAAATTGAGAAAAGTTCAAATTCTCCATTAATTTAATCTGTTTTATGCCCATGGTTCCAATCTCTGACGTGTCAATATATTTGCAAGAGGAGCGAAATCTCTCCCAGACCCAGTTGCCACAAATGACAGAACTTGGAATTTTTTAGGCAAATGTTATAGCATTTGTTCCTACTGAAGGTCTTTTCCCAAGTTATTCCTTTCTGCCTTTCTTAACACCATCTGAAATGATAATTTGTGGAATACTAAGGAAGGGCAGTGAAGGAGAGTGAAGGAGAGTCAGGAGACTCAAATTTACCTCCAAAGAGTTTTTGGCCTTGAGCAAATCTGTCCCATTCTCTGTGCCCTCTGGTGTGCTGGCTAGACTCCAAGCACTCTAATATCATTACCTGCTCTAACTTTTACTGGTTCTACAAACATTTGATTTAGCCTTGTCGGTCCCCAAGGAAGGAGAGCATTCTGAGTAAAGGAACTAGGTAAGCCCTTGTATTTAATGATATAAACTAGCTGCCTTTAAGAACTACTGTAATGGAGAGCCTAAGAAAATCCCAAGGAAGAGAAAGGGGGAGTCCCTTTGAATATATTCCTAACCCATACCAGGTTCTCTTTTTCCTTTTATAATGGGAACAAAAAAGGAGTTAAACATCAATTTTTGCCCAATTGTTCCTTTTCTTTTGCTGCAGATTGTGGGTGGCAGTGCAGAAGTATGTGCTGACACTGGCATCAGCGCCTGCTGACCCAACCCAACTGCCCTCCAATACCCCTTGTCAGTACTGAATACAAAGTCATTGTGGCCTTCCACTCCCCAGTGCCCCTAACCAGGCTTGGACTGTCCCTGACTGATTCAGGGAAGCATCAGGATTCAGTCACCACTTCCTCTCTGCAAAGGGAAGTCATTTCAAGGTCTCCAGGTATAAAAGGGATCACTGTGTCATAAAATGAACTTAAAATGATACTAAACACACATTCACACATACAAACAAAAGCACACACTCCTTGCATTGGTGGGGGTCTGCTCGTTGAATTCCCATTTAGAGAATGAGGGTTTCCATAACCATCACTCCCTGACAAAGCCATAAATGTGTACAGGATGAGACCATCCCAGGCAAGGAAGCTTTGCAGGGCTTTCCCAGATTGCTTCCATCTGGGTGGCTCTGGGCCCTAGAGGGGGCTAGGGGTGACAAGTACACACATCCTAGTTAAGGAGGTCATGCAGCTCTCACATAAGGCTCTTTACAATCCTAGGCTTTGTGACTGTTCCCCCCAACCCCTTGCCAGCCTGCTTGTATCCTGGGAGCTTTACTGCTTACAGGGAGCCCCTTTGTCAGACCCTTGCTTCTTTGGCATCCCAGGTTAACACCTGAAGTGCTCCTGGACACTTCATCTAGCCCCCAGTTTGAGCCTACCCCAGTCTCGGAGGGTGGGAGAAATTCCTAGCGGGGGGATGGGAGGGGTCTTTACTGGTCTGGCAAGCAAGCAAAGACTCCTAAAATGGCTACAGGAAGCTCACTGGTGTCTGAAGGACAGTGGCGAGGGCGGTGGGCAGAGGTGCAGGGGCTCCTGGTGTGGAGGTTAATTCGAGGGGTTGGAGGTTGGATTGGAGGATTAGGGCTCATGCAGGGAAAACTAGAGCTACGTGCACTCACCATTCCCGATCCGCCTCTAATCCACTGCATGGTGTCCACGAAGTCCAGCTTCTGTGAGACCGGGTGGCTGGCGCGGGTTGTCGCGGGCTGACTGGGAGGGAGGACTGGGCTGGAGGAAGTGAGAGCCCCAGCGCCCCCTCCACCTCCCCTCCTCCACGGCTCTACAGCCGAATCCCCTCAGCCTGACCTAGCCTTCAGTTAGGTTGTTTCTTGCTGGAGTGCGGGCTGTGCTTCTCCACCCTGCAGCTTCCCAGGGGGCTTGACAGGAAGGAAACACGCAACTGGGGGAGGGGGTCCCAGTGAGCTGCCTTTGTCTTCCTCCAAGGCTTGCAAACTGAGGGGTTGGATGCAGGTAAAAATACAGGGGGAATAACCTCCACCAAGGGTAAGGCAGCTGCCACCATTGCCTGCCCTCCTGCTGCTCGGGATTTATATGCTATTTATTGTGGGGCTTCTCAATTATGTTGACTCAGCGAAAAGTCTTCTCCAAAAGTTGCAAAAGGTTTTGGGACAGTCTCTAAATATTAAGATCCTGGCCCATTGAAACCATGCCAGTGAGTTCTCATGCCTCTCTCCCCAAGTCTTCCCCCTGTATATTTTCCAAGTGCCCTCTCTCTAGTGTCTAATCTTTTGTGCTTTTCATCTGCATTACTTTCACTTCTCAGAATAGCCATGGAAAAGCAAGCATTATTATCTCCATTGTACAGAAAAATAAAAGGAGGTTTGAAATAGAGAAAGGACCTGTACAAAATAGAGCTCTGACTTTACCCTCTGCAACAGTTTTCTAAACTTCTTTTCTATCACTTATCACTGTGTTCTCTGCACCCTCCCCCACACACACCATTCCAGCCAGTTGTCTCTCTTGTATCTTCAGGAATATGGAAGGTAGTCTTAATTGTTGGATGAATTTTCCATTTGCTTATTTGGCTGAGAATGAGATCAGAAACTGACCATCCTTTCATAGTGTCAACTCTGTGCAATGAAACCCAGGCCTGCCCTTTTGCATCTGTTGGGTGTTGAGGTTGTCAGTTCCAATCACACCCATTATTATTCTTTATGATCTTTCCAGTAACTCTGTGAGGCAAACAAAACGGAGTTTTAATTACCCATTCTGTTACATGCATGAACACTGAAGTGTGAAAGACTTCTCCACTCAAAGTAACACACACACACACACACACACACACACACACACAATGAAAATCCAGGGCCTGAGGCGTGGTTAACTTGGGCAGTACTAGAATTGAAAACAACAACAACAACAACCAAAAAAAAAAAAAAAAGGTTACAGCTACAGCAGGAAAGAATTTAAAGTGAGACACAAGAAAGAAGTTCCTGACTCAGACTGCTGGGCTTGCATACGAGTGCTTTTTCCACTGAGCATCTTTGTGGCCCCTCCATCTTGAATTTTAAGAAAAAAAATTTACTGAACATGGAGCTCATTGACTGAGAGGGCTGCCTGTCTCCCCACCAGCACTGAGGTTAGCAGATATGCTGCGCCACACCAGTCTCATATGGGGTCCTCATGCTGCGTGTCAGGTGCTTTGCCCACTAAGCCATTTCTCTGGCTCCTGAAAAGATTTTCTAAGCACTGTTCTATAATCATATTTTAATGTGTTTTTATTTTGAGTAACATGGAAAGCTGACCTCATGTTACCTATTTGTATCTGCAATCCAGACTGGAAATTTCCTTTTGTCAGTTACCTAAAAAAATAATAGGAATAAAACACTATAAGACTTTTTAAGTGTAAAAAAAAAAAAAAAAAAAAAAAGAAAGAAGTTCCTGGAGGGTAGTGCCATGAAGATATCATTAGCATGTTACACACACAGACTTTTTGACCTCTTCTTGGTAACCCATTTATTTTATCCAAGCCAGTGTTCAGGCCACACACAGTTGGCTGAAGCTTAAAGCTTTGGTGTGATCCCAGGCATTGGAGGCATTCAAACAGAAGCTCAATTGCCATTTGCCTGGGATTCCCGGATTAAATGGGGCTTGGCCTGGGTAACCAATCAACCTCCTCCCAAATCTGGTAGTCCACGTATCAGTGATTCTACAATGTCCTCACTTTCTCACCTCTGTGTCTTCATTTGTGCTGAGTATCTACGATGTGCCTTCCCTGCCAGCTAGCTTGTCTTCCAGCTCATTAAAATTATCATGACCATAACAGCTGCAAATGACTATCCTACCTGAAGGAAGCTTACCAGAAATACCACCAGACCTGTTTCACTCCTGCTTAATGTTGTCAGTTGAGACGGATCATTTTTTGTCTTCTGGTTGTTACAGGTAAAATTGTGCTTGCTTCTGACAAAATTTTAAGTTGAAGTCCAAATCCTTAATACTACAAACTATTACTGGATTTGGATGTACGGTCTTTAAGGGTGTGACTAGATAAAATAAAACAATTACAGTGGGCCTTTATAGAATATATCTTAATGATCCTATGAGAAGAGGGAATTTACACAGACATGTTGAAAGTAAATACCATGTGGAAACTGACCTATAAGCTCAAGAGAGGCTTCAGAAGAAATCAAAGCGAACTTGGAACTCAAACCTCTGGCTTCCAAGATTATGAGAAAATTAAGTTCTGATAAACCACTCAATCTATGGTTATGGCAGACCTAGCAAATGAGTATCTGGACATATGTATATGCTTTTTTATCTAGTGATTTAAATGTAATTATAGATTTCTCAACTTTTAATTTTTTGAAAGCAGTAACAATAAGTTCCTCACCGTGACATTTTCTGCAGCACTGACTGGCACATAAGATGTCCAGTTTAATTTTTTAATTTTCATTTTATTGCTATTGTGTGTATGTGCATGCACATGAGCATCCTCATCTGTGATGCATGTGTGAGTACTGGCACATGCATACCACAGCATGCTGTGGAGGCTGGAGGACAGCTTCCAAGAGTAAGCTTTCTTTATCATGTTTCCCAGGAATCCCCCTCAGATTGTCAGGCTTGCCCATCAAGCTCTTTTGCATACTGAGGCATCTCACTAGCCCAAAAACTGCATTATTTTCTTGAATTTATTAATTCACCAATATTGTTGAACCTTGATGTGGCAAGCATTATAAATAGATGCTCAGGACAATATGCCACAGAGCGCTTAAAATCTACTTGAAATAGAGAAGATATCAACAATAGATAAGTAAATAAACATACGCATTGTGACATATGCACCAAAGGAAATAATCCCACTTATGTGATATAATACTGGAATAATAGAAAGTGTCTATAGCAGGAAATTGGAAACTACCCTAGGTCTTTTAAAGCAAGCACATTTAATACAGGAAACACATCACACCTGCAGAGCTAAAAAGCCAAACAAGAGATGGTAAGGCAACACTGTGATAATCGTGGAAAGCTGCTAACATTTCTAAGCATAAATGGGTGATAAGAGGCAATGTTGCCTTAACACAAAAACAGGCATTGTTGAACAGAATCTAAAAGCATGATAAGGAAGCCTAGAAAAAGAAAGTGACATGATTTAAAGAGTTTAGCTGAAGCTGGAGCCATGAGAGAATATAGCAATCTGAGAAGACATCCTTCTGAAGCAGATGATGCAAGAAATATCAGAATTTTTTTTTACCTTTTTCTTGTTCAGCAATTTTCTAACATGTATGTCTTATTAATGGAAAAAAAAGGTATAAACAAGGAGAAAGAGGAGAAAAAGGAAGAATAGAAGGAGAATGAAGGGGGAAACAAAAGAAGAGGAGGAGGAGGAAGAGAAAGAATCTAAGAAAAGTGCCTTCAGAAGAGTAGAATTACATCTGAAAGAAAACAAGCCAATATTAATGTTCATCTCTAGTCTTGCAAAAGACTAAATGTTGATCTACAAGACAATATTAAATGCTGTTTACTACAGAATATTTAAAGTGCCTATTTTACCCAAAACCTTGAGACCAGTTAGAGACAGTACAATGAAATAGTAAGGCCATAAGCCCTGTGGAGATATCCAACCTATTGACTGTTGCCAACCAATGCATCAGGCCACATTTATAATTATTCTGAAAGGCATGTTGGAGTGGGCCTGTTGTAGCCACTTTTGCTACTTTATGGGTTTCTTTTTCTCTCATCCCTTAGTCTCCACCCTTATTAGCCCCCTAACACTACATAGGAGAGAGAAAAGGATAGAGGAAGAAAGTTATTCTTAGACTACTTTCTGCTGATTAGGGGTGTTGAGTTCTTTGGGGCATATTTGATCTTTGGTGTCAGGATATCCAATTTCTTTTTTGCATTTCTTTGCCCACAACTACTTGACAAACAGCAACCAACAACATCCAACCACCAACCAACCACAACAACAATCCTACTTCTCAGGGCCCTAGCATTTATATATTCTCTGAAAAGTTCCCAGAATTCCAAATATCACACATTGACAGAAACTATCTGCAGCTGACAAAACCACACTGTTGCTAGAGCATGAGGCAAATCATAGTCACTTGCTATGAAGCAGCCTCTTATCCTCACACCTAGGATTAAAACAATCTAAGTCAAGAAAAAGAATAAAAAGAAAACCCAAACTGAAATGACACTGGAAATGTAATATTCAATATGCTAATCAAAAAACCTCAGTGAAAAACCTCATTGATAGAAAACAATAGGATCATGTAGAAAACAAAGTCGGTGGTGGAAGACTAAGTAGAGGAATTATATCACACAGTAAAGATCAAGGAGAAGGTTTTTGAAAATTAAAATCATGAGAAAGCTTTAGGATATTATGAAAAGACCTAATTTTCAAATTATGGTCTATAAAAAGGAAAAGAAAACCATAGCAAAAGCATAGAGAAAGCATACAAAGGTCTAGTGAAAACATACAACAGAATTTCCCAAACCTACAGAATGCTAGCATGTTCAGGCATACAAAGCCTACAGACCAGGAAATAGACAAGACCAGAAAAAAATTCTCCACAATATATTATAGATAAAATATTTAAAATAAGAATAAAGATGTTGAAAGCAAGAGAAAAAGGGCAAATCATTTACAAATATAGGTCTATGGCAATAATACCAGATTCTTCAATAGAAACCTTTAAATCCAGAGAAGCCTACAAAGATACATTCCAACTTCTGAAAGGTCACAACTGTCAGGGCATATTATTATCCCCAACAAAACTGTCTATCAGAATTGAAAGATAAATAATATGACAAAAATGGATTAAAGGATTTTATGATTACTAAGTTAGCTCTACAGAGGAATACTTCAACTGATAGAGAAGGTTAGACACAACATAAAGTTCACAAGGAACAAAAATCAGAAGTGTCAGAGCAGGTAATCAAAAGAT